TTATGGATTGTCTTTTTTTTGTCTTGTCCATTTTTAATAATGATTTTTTTTATCTTTCTCTTGATTTTTAAAATAAAGCCCTTTTGATCTTAGGAAGAGTTACCCTGTTTTATTTAAGTTGCAAATATTTTCTCCCAATTTGTTGTCTGTGTTTGTATTCTTTTCTCCATGCAATTTTTAAATGTATCCATTTGACTGTAAGACATAGTTAGAAAGGCCTTTCCCCTCTCAAGTTAAAAGGAACTCGGCCACTTTTTTTCTGTAATTGCTGTGGTCTGAATGTCTGTCCCCTCACAAAAAAATCATATATTGAAACCCTAATGCTCCAAGTGATGATATTAGGAGGTGGGGGCCTTTGGGAGGTAATTAGATCATGAGGGCAGATCTCTCATGAAGGAGATTAATGCACTTATTATAAAAGAAGCCCAAGAGAGTTCCCTTGCCCCTCCACTCTGTGAGGAGACAATGAGAAGTCTGTGACCCAGGAAAGGTCCCTCCTCACTCAGCCACGCTGGCACACTTATCTCAGACGTCCAGCCTCCAGAGCTGTGAGAAATAAATTTCTCTTGTTAACAAGCTGCCTCGTCTATGAGATTTTGTTCTAGGAGCCCGAACAAACTAAGACAAGCATTTTTACGATTGCATTTTATAATATTTAGATCTCTTATCCATTTGGAGTTAATCCTGGTATGTAGTATAAAACATAAATCCAATTTACCTTTTTCTAATACCTTTTATTAAACAACCCATCTTTCCCCAGGGATCAGAAATTCTATTGTTCCATTAATCTGTATGTCTCTTCATGTACCAGTGTCTACTATTTTAATGATAGGGACTTTATAGTATCTTTTAAATCTCTGCTTTCTTTTTTTTTCAGGAATTTTTCTGGCTGTTCTTTTTTTATTTTCTTGCTTGTTGAATTTAAATTTAATGTGTCTGCTTCCATACTTGCTAGCATTTTTATTGGTATCGTATTTAATTTATATATCAAATATCCTATCCACTCGCAGAGAATTAACCTCCTTATAATATATCATTTTAGCCCATGTATTCTCAATGAGGGTGATACTGCTTCCAAGGGGGTGAAATTGGTTTCAGGGAGGGTGCAAAATCTTAGATACTACAATGGTTTGTGGCTCTCCAAAGCTCAATTTTACCCAACACAATCTTATTCTTCATTATTTACTCTCTCATTGGCATTTCTTGGGTATCCACGAGCAGCATTGACACTGAGGGCGTGGAAGATATATGTTTGCAAGATTAGTGCTACCAGAAAAGATCAGTGCCATAAAACTATGGCAAATAGGTGGCTGTGAAGGGAGGACTTTCAGTCGATTGCTCAACTTGAGGTCCTATCACAAGAGGTAGCCTGCCATGTGCCCATTGGCTGCCTTATGGATGCTGTTTATATGTGATTGTGCTTTTGTGTCTGACTTGGACTTTGAGAATTAAATAAAAACTGTTTTATTATTCTGCAAAAGTTATTCAACGTGTTGATAAAAAACAAATTTGGACTTATGTAAGGAGAGACTTTATCCAAAGGATCACTGCAGTGAAGGAAGAGAGACTAGTTGGGAGAACACTGATGACCATGAGATCTGCAAGCATCTCAAAGGTCAGATAGCAAAGAATTTTCTTTTATAGGGAAGGTAAACAGAACAGAAAGAAGTGGATGTGGGAGTGGCATGAGTGGGTGAACTGTTGTGTAGATGTTCTCTGTGGTCAGCTGGGGAGGGGCTGGAGTCATTGTTAAGAATGTTCTACATTCCTCTGCTGGCCCAGGATCAAGGGTAGGCCAAAGTTCAAGGGCCTGGGAGAAGGAGGGAAGCCTGACTAAAGTATGGTCAAGTGAGGTTATCAGACATTTTCTCCAGATTGGTCAATGGGGTCAAACAGCTCAGCTAATCATTGATGAGACAAGGAATGGCAACTTGGAGGGTCTGTCTGTCCTTGTCATAGGTTAAAAAAAAGGGGGTCGTCCTCCAGTCTTAGAAAATAAGTTACATGGGGAAGGGAGGTTCTTTGCATTCAGCTGTTCTCCAGTACACAAAGGGCGAGGGGATCCCTCTCATCCTGGCTAGTTCTCAGGATTATAGGGCTTGGGTAAAGTTAACCATTGTCAAACCCATCAATTATGTCAGGTGCTGAAAAGTAAAGATGTCCGCAATATCTAAATGAAGATCAAGCAACTAGTTCAAAGTTTCTCCTATCTAGCAAAAGTTAAGTTCACTAAAAATAATTTTTAAGAAATTAATTTTTCAATCATTTTACTTTTTGCTGGAAAAGAACAGTTCTGAATGATATTTAAAAAATTTGATTACATTGTGTATATTATGTACTTATATAAAGTGCTAATTTCCGTATGTATTATAATGTTACAATTTATTTAAGTAAATTACATTAAAAGTTACTTAGCAAATAGTTATAAAGTTAGGGTAAATGTTAATAGCTTTTTAATTTTGTCAATGAAAATAATCCATAACCAATTTATAAATGAAAATTTGGCTGAGTTTATTCTGAGCTGAAATCTGAGGACCGTGGCCCTGGGCCTTTCTTCCCGAAGGAAGAAAGGGCACCAAAGAAATGAGATGTACAGAGTGGTTATATACCCCCAAAGAGGGTGCTTTACATATGATTGAAATGTCCCTCCCACAATAGTCACAAGATTGCCCTGTCCGCACAGCACTTGATGGACACAGCAGGTAGTGGGTCTGCTATCTTGGTGGGCGTAGCAGGAGGCAAGTCTATTGTCTTGAGCTGGGCGGTCACAGGTGAGCGCAGCACTCAGTTTCTAGCCTAAGGAAAGATGCTTAATCCTTAAGGAGACGCCAAAGTTGGGAGGGGGAGGGAGGTTGCACCTTTATCTCAAGGGTCTTTGCTCTTGCCAGAGGGAATCTCTAAAGCAGATATACAATGCATGCTCAATGGCCTTGGTCAGGCCCTTTTGGAAAGACAAGGTCAGGCCGAATTAGGTTTATACCACATGGCTTCCTCATATTCTCCAATATATCCTATTGCTTGCCATTTTTACCTGTCAATTTAATTAATTTATTATTTTTTTGCTGAGGAAGATTTGCCTTGAGCTAACATCTGTGCGAGTCTTCCTGTGTTTTGTATGTGGGTCGCCATCAGAGCATGACCACTGACAAGAGGTGTAGGTCTGTGCCGGGGAACTGAACCCTGGCTGCCAAAGTGGACAGCACTGATCTTAACCACTAGGCCATGGGGTGGGCCTAATAGCTTTCTTATTTTAATTTAGCTTTTTACTTAAAATTTTTATTACTCATTCTTAACCTGTATTGAATAAAATGAGTGAGCACTATTCTTATTCTTTTTATTTATAAAGCTCTGATATACATACAGTACATAAAAAATGTATACAGTATATCTGTCCTATTGAAATTTCCTATTCGGGGGGGGTGATTAAGAAAAAAACAAGTTTAAAAAGGCGCCTCAGAGGGGCAATAATGAAAAAGCTGTTGATAAGCATTGTTCTAGCCATTTGTTCAAATCTATTTTTATGTCTTTCAGGAGTATTTCAAATGTTTCCTCTTACAGGTTTTATGCATTTCTTGTTAAGCTTATGCCTAGGTGTTTTATCTTTTTTGTGGCTTGTAGCTTTTCTTTTGTTTTATTTTCTATGTAGTTATTGTTTTATATATAAAGGTCATTTCTTTTAATGCTAATCTTCTATCCTGCTGCTTTACCAAGTTCTCTTATTTTTTGTTGTAGCTTTTTTCTTTCGTTGAATCTCATGGGTTTTCAGGCATGCTGTCATATCTCAGACAGAGGGCGTTCTGCCTGTTCTTTTCCTGTTCTTGTTGCTCTTGAGTTCTCTTGTCTTTCTCATTGGCTAATACATCTAATACGATGAGAAATGATAGTGAAAGTAGTGGGTATTCTTGTCTTTTTTCTGTCATATCAAACCAGCTTTTTAATGCTGAGAAAATCCCACTTAATCATAGCTATTTTTTTAATGTGCTGTTGGATTTATATTTGCTGGTATTTTATTTCAGATTTTGCATTAATATTTCTGATAAAATACGAAATATATTTGGTTTTTGTCCCTGGTTCCTGGCACAGAGCTCCTAACACCCTTGGAATTTTCTGAGTGATAGGAGTGTCTTTTGTCACTCATAATGATCACGCCCGAATTTGTGTTAATGAGGTGCTTGGGTTGGGGCCCTTAGATTGCCTCACTTTCTGGGCTGGTCACCAGAAAGACCAAGTGATTAGAAGGTTGGAACTTTCCAACCCACCCACTGACCTCCAGGAAAGGGGTGGGTGGGACTGGAGGTTAAGCTCTATAAAAACTTTTGAACTAGGAGATACCATGAGCTTCTGGGTTGGTGAACACATTGAGGTGCTTTGCGGCAGCACATGCAGAGAAGGCATTGGAAGCTCCAGGCACCCTCCCTCCCCCATACCTTGCCCTATGCATCTTTTCCATTTGGCTGTTCCTGAGTTGTATCCTTTATAATAAATTGGTAAATGTGAGTAAAGTGTCTTCCTGAGTTCTGTGAGCCATCCTAGCAAACTATCGAACTCCTTAGGAGGGGATTGTTGGAGCCCCCACTTTCTAGCTGGTAGGTTAGGAGCACGCATGCCCTGGAATTTGCGATTGGCTTCTGAAGTCAGGCGTAGTCTTGTGGGACTGAGCCCTAAGCTGTGGGATCAAAGCATCTCGCTTAGTGTGTGGGGCCTGGGGGAGCTGTGTGCTCCCCAGGCTTCCCTGGGCAGGCCCCTATCCTAGAGATGAAATATGCCCTGGAAAACTAGCACCCTCTAGGATCCTGCTCAGCAGCATGGGGATTAAGGAAAAGGCTGGCCTGAATTTCTTCGGGCTGAATCCATTGCTGTAGCTGAATTCCATTGGATTTGTAGGAGGGCTGAAATTTTTCCAAAGCTCTTCACAGAGGGGAAGTAAAAGTGGTTTCAAGATGCTCATTTCGTGGGCCCTGAGGCAAGCCTGATCTCATGGCTTCTTTTTCCTTCTCCAGCCCTGCCGTCTCTGGACTCTGTACATCTCCAGGAGAGGAACCCAGAGAATTGATCAGTTCTGACAGTTCTAAAAACCATGCCCCACGTGAGTTGCTCTTTCTTCTTTCCTTCCTGAAGTGTAGTTGTTTTGTCGTGTGGTGTGACCACCAGATTTATTTATCCCCAAAGTTTCTGCCTTGCATAGTCCCCTAAGGGAACTGCTCCCAATTTTCCCACGTTCCAGTGAGTGATCATAGCAAAGAGCTCCATTCTTCTCTAAATGTTTTCCCTGACCAAACAGTGTTTAGATGTTTATTTAGATCATTCTACATTTTTTACATGCAAAGTCTTCTGCCAGGAGCCCTAAGGAAGCAGAATAGCTCCCCTTAGGAGCAATGTTAGTACAATGGTTTGATGAGGCGGTTAAATGGGACACATGGCAAACCTTGATCTCCTCTGCAAACCTAGGTTTTCCACTTGGAAGTGACAGCATTTCTGCTGGATGTTCTCAGTCTCAGTGTGGCAAGATTTTTCTGTGAAACTTTTAAGATTGGGCGGGGAACTGAGAGGGAAGAGATCTTGCCCGTTGTATCATTTCTTCTTGCTGCTGTACCAAAGTGCTACAAACTTAATGGCTTACAACAACACAAGTGTATTTTTTTATACTTCTGGAGATTAGAGTCTGAAATCAGTCTTACAGGGCTGAAGTCAAAGTGTTGACAGGTCTATGTTCCTTCTGGAGGTTCTAGAGGAGAATCTGTTTCCTTACCTTATCCAGCTGTGAGAGGCTGCCCACATTCCTCGGCTCATGGCTCCGTCCATCTGCAGAGCCAGCAATTGCATCACTCTGACGTCTGCTTTCATTATCACAGCTGCTTTGCTGACTCTTCTGCCACCCTCTATCACTTAAAACACCCTGGAATTACACTGGGCCCGACCAGATAATCCAGGATAATCTCTCCATCTCAAGATCCTTAACTTAGCACATCTGCAGAGTCCCATTTGCCACATAAGGTAACATGTTCACAGGTTCCAGGGATCAGGATCTGGACGTCTTTGGGGGCCGTTATTGTACCCACCACACTCCTCCTGCCCAGGAACCAATAAGAGGATGATCAGCAGTCAAGTTCACTCTGGAGCTGGCCGGAATGTGTCAGTCCTGAGCAATGCCCATGTGCATCTAGGCTGTCATACATCAGTTTGCTGTAGCCTAGGAACACGGAAAGTTGGAGCAAATAGAACCTGCCAGATGCATGCTCTCTTGAGAATTTTAGATTCTTAGAGCTCAGAGACATTATGGAATTTAATTTAAATCCTCCCAAATAAGCAGATCATTTTATCCATAAAATGGAACTGTCGTGTCCATTATATTCAGTGACATAATATTGTGACTTGATGAATTTGAATCTTCAAAAAATTCTTAAGTTATACCCAAATTCTATGTTCTAGCCTAGAGATTTGTTAAAAATTATTTGGAAATATTTTATCAGTTTTCTTTAGCTTTTTCTTTAAAGGGAGAAGAGAAGGAAAGGACTCATATTTATTGAGAATTTATTTATTTATTGAGAATGTGAAAGCTTAATGTGCTGTGTGATTGCATACAATAGTTAATTTAATTGGGAAACTGCGTTCATCTGGCCTTTTTCATTCCTGGACCTTTCTGGATAATGGAATTGTCTTATTATAAATAGGAAGTTTTGTCTGTGGCAGTAGGAGTGATCAAGGGCACGCTGACACCACAGTTCGGGCACCCACTTTCCTTCAGTGTTACAGGTGTTCAGCCATGGCCTGCTGTTTGTTGTGTCACCCCCTTCCTTCAACACCCTCCTCCTTTTCTCACTTCACCTCAAAATCATTGCCGTATTTTCACAAATAATAAATGGATTTGTTGTTTCAGTGGTTGGTGACTTTCAGGGATGTGGCCATCGACTTCTCTCAGGAGGAGTGGGAGTGCCTGGACCCCGCGCAGAGGGACTTGTACCGGGAGGTGATGCTGGAGAACTATAGCAACCTGGTCTCCCTGGGTAAGGTCATCTTACCCAATTTTTGGAATTCGTCTCCCATACTTTCTGCCTCCTTCATGGTGAATTTCTGATTTCTATTCCTAAGGAAAGGTTTGAGTTTTGTAGAGGTAGAAGTGGACAGCTCCACTGTTTACCTTCTGACTTCTCATTCTTCAGTCCTTCACATCTTCCTCTGTCAGTGTCTCTCTTTGGTGACCAATGGACTGGATGTGGATCTGGGACTCCCACACCATGACCATGTCCCATTTCTTTTCTTTTAAGCTGGATGTTCGGTCCCTAAGCCAGATGTGTTTTCCTTATTGGAGCAAGGGAAGGAGCCCTGGATGGTGGTGAGAGCCATGGCAAGAAGACGGAGCTCAGGTGAATAAGGGCTGGTCACAGAGGAGCAGCTAGTGCTCATAGTGCTACAGCTGGTCTGTGAGGTGGCAGCACTTGGAGATGCCTGTGCGAAGCTCTCTCCGAAGGCCTGCAGAAAGAAGACCTGAGACGCAGGGAGAGCAGGAAGGTGACATCAATATGAGTTCCCAAAGGAACTTTCCTTCCAATGCTCATTTACTACTCTTCCTCTCTCTTACGTTCCCGTTGTTTTAATGAGGAAGCTACCTTTGGTTTCTTCCAGAGACAATCCTTTTATCTATTTTTTGAATTGAGTTTTATCCCAATTTCTGTTTTTTATTTAAATGTGCATAGGTATCTCCAGCTGGCAAATGTTTATTGAGAGCTTTCTGTGAGCTTACATTAGGATGGTCTGGGATGATTTCTCAGAGGAGGTGACATTTGAACTGAGACCTGAATAACATTAGCTGAGCCAAATAGGGGAATTATGTGTTCAGACAGTGGGAACAGAAGTGTGAAGGCCCTGCAGGGAGGCTGCACTTCACTTATTTCAGGATCAGCAGCAGGGTCAGTGAGGCTAACAGAGTGAGTGAAAGTGGGAATTAGAGATGAGGTCAGAGAAACAGGCAGGGATCAGATCATGTAAGGCCTTGTACGCCATCGCAAGGAGTGAGATTTTATCCTAAGTATGCTAGCAAGCCCTTGGAGGGTTTTGTGCAGATAAGTAAGAGATCTTTGTTTAAAGATCACTCTGGCTGCTGTGTGTAGAGTCAGGGTAAGAATAGAAGCAAGAGGACCAGTTAGTGGACTAGTTCAGGAGTCCACACTGGAGAGAACAGCGGCTCAGAATGGGGTTTAATATGTGGAGGTGGAGAGAATGGGTTATATTTTAATGGTAGAATTAATAAGATCTGCCGAAAGATTGGAAATAGAAAGAGGCATCAGAGTTTGGAAGCCCACAGAAGGAAGTCAAGAGTTACGCATTTGAGATGCCCATTAGATATCCTGATAGAGAAGTCAAATAAGCTTTTGAAAGCCTGTAGGCGGGTAGTCAGGACTAAAGAGATAAATGTGGGACTAATCTCTGTATTATGGGAATAGATGAGATTATGGAGAGAATTGTTTAGATGGAGGCCAAGGTAAAGTCCACGCTAAACCATGGGGCATCCCAGCAGTTAGGTGGGAAGAGGAAGAGGATCCAGCAAAGGAAATCGACGAGAAGCCTGAGTACACCGGATCTAGGAAGTAATCGGGAAAGCAGTGTGTGAGAAGCCAAGGGACAGACACGAGGATGGTGTGGTTAACTGTGAAAGACACTGGTAAGAGGTCCAGTAAGATGAAGGCTGAGAACTGGCTATTGGATTTGACAAGACGAAAGCTATTGGTGACCCTGACAAGTAGGTTTGGAAATGAGAGGAACAAAAACCTGACTGTAGAGGATTAAAAAGAGAATGGGGAAGAAATAAGCCAACAATAAAAACTAGAGTGGGACATTGAGTTAACTCACCAGGCAGTGTTGAAGGCCCATTTGAGGAGCCCTCAGAGGTACAAATAGAGTTTGAATGTGTTTTAGAAGTTTTTAATAATAGTACTATAATAATTAGGACAAAGATGATTCAAGTTTGTATTTGCAGTATTATTTCAACTACATGAAAGTGCAAGGAAAAAAGCCTGGAAGGAAATACAGCAAAATGTTAATTATGAGGGTGAGAGAGAAAGAGAGAAAGAAAAAAGTACAGATACTTCTTTTGAGAAGTTTTGCCAGGAAGGAGTACAGTAAATAGGTAGGAGCTACAGGGTGAACCATCGAATCAAAGGAAAGGTTGTTTTGTTTTGATTTGAAAGGAGAGTCTTTGATATTGGACAAATGGTACAAGAGTAAATGAGCTAGAAATGTGGGTGGTAGTGGTCAGAAAGGATGGTTGCTTGAAATTGAGCTTTTAGAGGTGTTGTCATTATTGGTAATAACAAGGTCTATTATGTCTACTGTGGGAGAGGGTAGGTGGAGTGAGGTGAGGGAAGACAGTACTTCAGAGGAAGCAGTGTGCTCAAGGTTTCAATCAGAGCAGGAAGGCCAAGAGAGTAATCAGAAGGGAGGCTGAGGTTATGGAGTATTTGCAGAAAGTATACTGTGAGTTCCAGAAGGCCTACTGGTTACAGTGCAGTGGAACATTGGGTCACAATAGAGGAGGTCCACATCTGGAGTGAGGTGAGACTCCTAGTGATGACCAAGCACCCAGGAAGCCAGGGCTATCAGACATCACAGGATCGGTCCTGAGTGGTCTCTTTGGGGAAGGTGGGTACTTATTCCTATTATAACCTAAGGGTAGAGGGACTGTCACACTAAGAGTTTATAGAAGTTGAGACCCGCCAGGAGAAGCAAGCCTTAATAGCAGGTTGTGGAGGTCTTACCAGCACCCAAAGCTATGGGGGCCTCCCTTGTAGCCTGCAGTGGGTAGAGGGGCTGTCTTAATCGAAGAGAGAATTACAGGTGCGGCATTGCTAGGAATCTGGCCTTGGGGAAGGCTTCTCAGGAATCGCAAAGGTCCGTGAAGTTTCAGGTGAGTCCAAAAGGATGGAAAGCAGGTAGGGAGGATGAGGGTGCAGGGAAGAGCATTCATGGCAGAGGGAACAGTGCAGTGAAGGCCATTGGTGTATATGAGATATTTAAAGATGGCCCTCGTAGCTGGAGCCTAGAGAGGGAGAGGTGACGGGTGAATTTGGAGAGGCTGGCAGGGTCCAGGCC